GGTCAAGCTTGGCATGCACTAACGTTCTTCCATTGCTTTTGGCTATCTTGGAAGGCCATGACTCATCATGCAGAAGTTCTTTCAGATGGAAGTGTGCAAAAGCAGGAGGGGTCCCCATCATTGGTGGGTGCTTTACAGCAGGTGAATGCTGGGTCAGTCGGGGCGTTTGCCATTGTAAGTAAAGTCAGACGGGGCACAGTGGGCCGGTGCCGCCGGGGTCAAGGCTTCTGTTTCCTTTCAGGGAGGTGGCTGGAGCATGGACAAAGGGTTGCAAGGGTTCGAGACCTGGTCAAGCAGTTTGCAGGACTCAGCACTTCTCATGCGCCGAGAGTTGGGTCGAACAAATGCGCCTTGGAGATTCACGCTGGTAACTAGACATCGCACAGTTCCTTAGGACAAATGGGATGAGGTTTGTTGCACGGCTTTTGCACGGCCTGGCGCCTGCTCGGAGTGTCGTAGACTTGTCGTGGAGTCAAAGCGTGGAGTGAAGGGTGTCTTGTTGCGTGGACCTTAGGAATGTTGGCGGGATGATGTCTGGACGTCGGTCTGTCCCAAGTACGAGTCGCAGCTGCAAGAAGCAGGACAACCCCATTTCACATAGACCTTAAAATCTGAACCCGGTCATGCTCAAGGGTTGAGGTGGGTTCCCCATGGTTAATCATCTGCCGTCTGGCAAAGTGGGCTAAGGGCTTCTGTAGCGATGCAGAAATCAGAGGTTCATCCGCTCAGGATCAGAAGAAATGCACAAGCTATACAGAAAAGGATTGTGCCTCCAGCTGTGGCACTGGTAAGATCTGCATGAAGCTGCAGATGAGAAGCGCGGCTGCAGATAGACATGGCAGTATCTGCCACTGCAAGTCAAGTTAAGCCAGCTTCCATGTCATCGCTGTCACTGCCTGCCACTTCTTGCCTACGGCCAGCTTCTCACAGAGAAAGAGAGAGAGCGAGAGAGAGCGAGAGAGAGAGAGAGAGAGAGACGGAGAGAGACAGAGAGAGACAGAGAGAGACAGGGAGAGACAGAGAGAGACAGAGAGAGACAGAGAGAGACACAGAGAGACAGCGAGAGAGAGAGAGAGAGAGAGAGCTAAGAGAGGGGACAGAGGGACAATGCAACACATGTATTAGGCCCGCTTAGCTACACCTGCTGTTCCGACATCGACTCGACAGCGTCCTCGAATTCAGCAGCATCTGGATCGGATGCCTCGGACAGCTCGGATGCCTGGCAAAGTAAATCTGAAGTCTGGCCGAGTTTATCGCTGTATTCCACTTGTGCGACATGCATCGAAATGTCTCCGTGCCATTCTGTGCCTCAACAATCTGCTGGCAAGCCGACGAGACGAGAGCATCTCGGAAGCGTGCACCCGAGGCAGATGCCAGGCTGTCGGCTGCTCAAGAGGCGCACGGGCCCAAAGGCAAAGAAGATTCAGAAAGTGGGCATTCTCGGCAATCCACGTCTGGCATCCACGTGACGGAGCAGAAAACCTTGGACAAGGATGCGAAGGACGTGAAGGACGCGAAGGATGCGAAGGACAGGAAAGACGCGAAGGACGTGAAGGACGAGCTGTCTGCGCTGGAGAAGAAGAAGCAGGAGGCTGAAGGGTTTGAGCCTCTTGGAAAGTGTGAATTCGGGTATGGCAGATGATGCGAAAACTCAGAATCACTGCACCCCTCTTGGGTTTGAGTTGACCGCGGCAATCACCCGGTAGTCGTCATAGCCAGTCACAGGAGTCATAGGCATAGATGTGTGGCCGAACAGGACCGGCCAAGCCTCAGAAGTGTGTGTTGTGTGTTCTGGGTTGCCCCCTAGAAGCCTCATGTTGTCCTGGGAAAAGCCAGAAATCCGCTCTGCAGGCTGAAGAACAGGTCAGGAAATTGGAGGAGGAGAGGCAAAGACTGGCGAAAGATGCGGGCATGGACAACCTTGACAAGCAGGCAATGAGGGCACCCGCTGCATAGCTTCCCCGGAATGTCCAGAGCTCGAAGTTCGAAGCAGGCACCACACCAAGAGCCAGAAGCCGAGAAGCCTGGGCCTCAGAGCTTCTTGTGGAGCCCTTGGTGGAGTATTCGTCGAGACTATAAATACATATATATATATACATATATGTTTACTTTCATTTCTCTTTATTCAGAGCTACACTTTTGGCTGCGCTGTTGACAGAGTTCTCCACAGTGCTGTTCATTGAGGCACGATGATTCGAAGCAGGAGGCACCGAAGGAGCTGCCGTTCTCAGGCCAGGCTGACATCATTTTGGAGTGAACGGCCTCTCTGGACCGAAGAAGGCCCCCTACGTAGTCCAGTCATGCTGTTCATTGGAAGGCCGAGCCTTCGAAGCGCCACAGTCTCAGAGAGTCTCATAGTGCCGTAGCCGCAGCGCTCTGTTGGAGGCATCGTCTCACATCGCCATGTGTATTGCACCTGACACTGTGCATCTACATCAGGACTTTGTGTTGTCAAGTGCTTGTCTTCACTTGCCTAGGCAGATCTTCGGTCAGCAGCTTGATGAAACTGCATTGGCTCAGCTCGCCGGCTGAAGGGAGTTTTAATTCGTGTCTGCTTTGCGGACACAGGAGGAGTCCTGTGACCACCGGAGGTGTCCTGAACGGCTGTCTGAGCCGCACTCCGCGCCAAGCGGCGACATAGTGCAACAAAGATGACCCGCTTGGACAGGAGCTGCGCTGTGAAAGCTTCATGATAGAAGCAACGGCAGGATACGCAAGATGCTTGAATAGATGCTCGAGGCATCTTGAGGCTCGCCACAAAAAGGGCCGATGGGGTTTCCCAGGCGAGAACCTTTGTTTGATCCTTGGCAGCTGCGTGCTTGACCCGGTGAACGTTCGGGCACATGTCAACGTCTGGTTCATCAAGGAAGGGCAAATGGCAAATGGCAAATGGCAGATCAGGAGACTGCTTTTGACAGCACGCGACTGGCTAGCAGTCATCACGCAGCAGCGAATGCAGTCAGGATAAGGCCTTTAACATATCAACTCCTTCCTCGCGCAGCTTTTTGAGCCTTGTCACATGTTATGTTATGAGAGTGTTATGCTATGAGAGTGTTGACCAAGCCTCAGTTGAGAAATGTTTTGGGATGTTTCATATACCGCTGATGGCGCAGCAGGGCAAGGCTTCAAGTTTCAGACTTCCAGCTGCGTGCTGAGCATTGTGTTTGTGAGTTTCGAAGCTAGTCGTTTCCGATTATTGCCGAGGTTTGTCTTGAGACAAATGTGAAGGAGAACGCGAGACTCGGGCGAGGTCCCATGAGGTTGTACACATGGTGCATGTCCGATGCAATTGTAGATGTTCGTCTCTCAACCTTACAGTATAATAAGCAAATCAAGAAGTGTATGTATATATCTATGTATGTATATGCATATATATATATATGTATGTATGTATGTATATGTGGTTGTGCCTCTGCGGGCCCCCCGGGCGACCCCCCCCGCCGGGGTGTGGGGTGTGGGTGTGGGTTTAGGATTTTAGGGTTTAAAGGGGTTTAGGGCTTTATTTAGGCTTTTTGAGGTTTAGGCGTCCGGGCTTTAGGGCTTCAGGGCTTTGGGTTTAAGGTTTAGGGATGTTTAGGGTGTTAGGGCTTCGGGTTTAAGGGTTTTCAGGGGTTCAGGGCTTAGGGTTTGGGGAGGGAGGGGGCGCATGAACATATGGTTGCACCCCATATGATACAAGCAGAAAATATATGCGGTGACATAAGAAATATGCAAAACAAAACAGTACGCAATGTCTACTCAGTATTCAAGATATACAGAATATACAAAATATTCAATATATTCAAAATATGGAAAATTGCAAAATGTACAAAATACAGAAATACATAACTTGTACAACACATGTAATAATGTATACAGTATGTACAATATATGTACAAAAAATGTACAGTTTATACAATGTGTACAGTATATGTGTACAGTATACAATATACAATATCTGCAATATATGTACACAACATATATACAATATTTACAATACATATATATATATATATACACATATTTTTCGTGATTGACGTGATTTTTTTTGTATATTCTATGATTTTGGAACACATCTCGTGGGTTGTTATAGACTTGTAGAAGCCATGACAGCTCCGGTCCTTGCTGGCACAGCCATGCTCCGACTATTGGCCACAGGCTTGCAAAGCGCTTGACATTCAGCTTAGATCGGAAAACATAGTACGAGGAAGCTGTTTGAAAGGAACTGCCGCTCGGATACGGAAATTCGCGCATCTAGCCTGCTCCATTCGCAACGGCACCAGTGAGAGCTTTTCGGATCTTTTCGGCATCGTGAGGAGGGAGGATCCCTTGACCAAGGAGATTTGAGGCTATTCCAGGAAGAAATGGTGATAAGCAATGAGAACTCTGTCTCGGGGGCACCGTGACACATCCGGATGTATCTCACGAGAATAGAGTAGCGGTAGCCTATGGGCGTGCGGATATTTTCCAGCCTCTCGGGGTGGGTCGCCGCAAGTCGCCCGAGGGGCTGCAAGCTTCCCGTGCTTCAGGGGCGTGCCAAATCATTGAAATCTATCGTTTGCTGCAAAGTGCAAAGCATTTGAGGATATATGAGGATTGCTTCCCTGGACGGAGACATAAGAATGGCACCAGGATGAAGGAGCAGTTTCAGCAATGTTCACCGCGATTCAGGCACAGTAGATCAGCGCTCCTGAGTGCGATGCGGCGCGCTGCAAACATGTATCAGACTGGTGGTTCTCAAGGGTTTCGAGAGAAGTTGAAAAAAGTAGTCGCGAGAGTGAGTCTGAGTAGTCTCAGCTTCAACCGGTTCCTCAGTGATGGCCTCAGAGTTCTGACATGATTCTATATATGTATATATATATATATACATGTATATATGTATATATTGTCCGGGTGACCGTGGCAGGAAATTCATGCAAGAGGAGAACATACCAGCCATGCTGGAGAAAGACAAGGACGTTATGCTCTTCCATCATATTTGTGCACTTTTTGTGCGCTCCACTGTGCTTGTGTCTTGACAGGACAACTCAGATGTCGATGATGCTTCTGATCGATTGGTTCTGATAGAGAGGGAGGAGGGATTGGGACAGATGTTGGAGGCAGGCAGTTCTGAGGCCGTCCCTCAAGACCAGACAGCTGGGACATTGTTGGAGCGTGGTGCCTCTGTGGAGACTCTCCAGCCGAATTGCACTGAAGCCAGCAGCTTCGACACCAATGTGCAGGGACTTGAAGCTGATGACAGCTCCAAGCAAGCAGTGGCTGCAACTTGGTTTTGTCCAAGCAACCTTTCCTTCAGGATTGTTGCAAGGCAGCTACATTGCAGGGCTGTACATCATAGTAATCCTCGTAGGTCCTCGTAAGATTCTCCTTGTCAGCTTTGGGGTCGTCCAGGAGTCTGATGGGCAGACAATCGCTTCGCAAACTGCGGGGCTCTTTTCACCGAAGGCAGAAAAGGCAGACGCGGCAGCGCGGGATTCTGAGACCAGCGAGCATCCTGACATCACCCACGTCAACGCGTCTAAGCAAAATTGGTTGAGTTCGCTTCGCCTTGTTGTAGGCGGTGTGCTCGCTGCAGCCTTATGCAAACTTAGGACAGCTGTGACCGGCCGCACAGCAGCTGGCTGCCCGAGTCGGTGTCGAAGTTTTCTAGTACTGCGGAGATGCTCGCCAGCCAAGCAGCCGGCCTCTTCTCCAAGAAAGGTGAGGAGCCTGAGCAGGCGAAAGCTGCTGGAGAAGCAGATGCGTCTGGAGAGGCTGCTGCCGAAGCTTCCAAAAACTCAGTCAGCCTTACTCGGCCGCATGTTTTATCTTTCTGCTTGTGGCCTGTTTGCACCCGCTACGGTTCAGCATCGGACTTGATCTCAGGAGAGCGGTCCATCCGCGCAGCGCGGCGAGCGCTGGTTCGCGGACCACTCCAGCGCATCCTTGACCAGCTTCACGCGGGCTGCAGAGACGTTTGCCACGCAAGCTGCGCAAGCTGCTGGCCTGTTTTCGTCCAAGAGCTCCGGTCGGCCGGGTGCGGATGCGGATGCGGATGCGGGCGCGGGTGCGGAAGCGGACGCGGAGGATGCCCCGGCAGCTCCAAGTTCACCGCCGGACACTGACACCACCGACATGGCCGGAGATGTCTGGCAAGACTGTTGAATTTTGTTTCGCATGTGTCCGTGGCATCTTCATGTAAGGTATGTACTTGCAGGTGTGTGCTTGTGCTGTTTAGCGCTCGAGTACCACGAGCTTTCATAAGTCAGGAAAGTCTACCCTCACAGCCGGTGGACAGTTGGTTGCCACACAGTGGTGCAGCATTGGCAAGCTTCTCGCACACAGCGGAGACAATTGCTTCGCAAACTGCGGGGCTCTTTTCACCGAAGGCAGAAAAGGCAGACGCGGCAGCGCGGGATTCTGAGACCAGCGAGCATCCTGACATCACCCACGTCAACGCGTCTAAGCAAAATTGGTTGAGTTCGCTTCGCCTTGTTGTAGGCGGTGTGCTCGCTGCAGCCTTATGCAAACTCAGGACAGCTGTGACCGGCCGCACAGCAGCTGGCTGCCCGAGTCGGTGTCGAAGTTTTCTAGTACTGCGGAGATGCTCGCCAGCCAAGCAGCCGGCCTCTTCTCCAAGAAAGGTGAGGAGCCTGAGCAGGCGAAAGCTGCTGGAGAAGCAGATGCGTCTGGAGAGGCTGCTGCCGAAGCTTCCAAAAACTCAGTCAGCCTTACTCGGCCGCATGTTTTATCTTTCTGCTTGTGGCCTGTTTGCACCCGCTACGGTTCAGCATCGGACCTGATCTCAGGAGAGCGGTCCATCCGCGCAGCGCGGCGAGCGCTGGTTCGCGGACCACTCCAGCGCATCCTTGACCAGCTTCACGCGGGCTGCAGAGACGTTTGCCACGCAAGCTGCGCAAGCTGCTGGCCTGTTTTCGTCCAAGAGCTCCGGTCGGCCGGGTGCGGATGCGGATGCGGATGCGGGCGCGGGTGCGGAAGCGGACGCGGAGGATGCCCCGGCAGCTCCAAGTTCACCGCCGGAACAAACCGATCATTCTGCACAAGACGTTTGGTATTGGGAATGAGCTAGCAAGATGTTGAATCTTTGCTGTGAGTGAAGCCGTTTTGTGGCTGAGATCTGAGGAGATGCAGGCATCTCTGCACGAATCCGATTCGGCTGGCTCAGAGCGGGTCGGCCAACATGCGGTCAACGAAGCTGAGACCCAGGAGTGCGAAGCGAAGGACCCGTCAAAGCGAATTGTGACTTCCCGATACACTGCAGTTCCAATCTTAAGGTGTACGGATTTATTGCAAAAACACGTAAGGAGCAATGAAGACAGAATTTGCCATAAAGAAGCAACATGTCATGACTACCAAAAGACAAGCACAGACAAATACAGATAAGAAAGAGAAGCAACCGCTTCCACACAATGTTCGAAGGAAAGACCATGTAGACCTAGCCCGGGATAGACTCGAGATTAACGGTATGTAAGAGTTTCGCTCCTGCTGGTGCTACGAAGCCTGTCGAAGCACGTCAGATGTAACTCTTCAGATTCGCTAACACATTTCACCGCTGTTAGAGTTGAGGAGTATAGGAGGCTGTGCCCACTGAACATCCTCTAAGTCTTTGCGAAAGCTTGGACATGCTGCTCACTCCCCCTGCATTCGTTCCTCGTTCCTGCATTGGATGTTGCCGGAGCCCAACCAAAGCCGAAAGGCCAGGCAAGCCAAGCCAATCCAACCTTAGCAAATCCGAACTAGTAATGTTCTTTCAGGGAGCATCGAAACTCGGACGCAGGCAGAGAGTTCACGAAGTTCAGGGTGAAGGGCAGTTGCAATTTGATGTTGTGTGGTCTAGAATCTAGACGCTTGTCAACACACGCACGGTACTTCAACGGCCAGTGACTCATCGAAGCTGGCCTTGCGCGTTGCAACAAAGCGGAGGAGCCTGTTGCTGCAGCGAAGAAGGTGACAAGTTGGGTACCAGATGGTTCCGCCGAGTCACTGTCCAGATGGAGGGATGCAGCTGGAACCGTGGCCACACAAGCCATGGGCCTTTTCGGAGCTGCGGAAAGTGCACAGGCACCACTGGGACAGGAAGCGGAGACAAGTCAGTCGCCCGATGCGCCCGACCATGCAGCTTCTTAAACGCAAGCATTTTCAAACCTTGGCAACTGCATGAACCGTGACGATCCACTTTGTTCATGTATTACTTGGCTCAGCTTTAAGGATGCCTCTGCGCACAGCAACGGCTCATTCTCCAAGATCAAAACGGCTGCAGAATCGATAGCTGCACAAGCATCTGGGATGTTCCTGCACGGCAAGAACCTGGCTGAGGACATCTCTGGAGTCAGCTTCCCAAATTGCTCGTGAATAGGAGCCGCAAACCGGGGCTCGCAGTATACTAGGTATCCGTTGTGGGGTGTCAGAGCATCACCCAGCTTCTGGGTTTGTCGCATCCTGCGTCAGTCGACCCCTATAGTCGACGTATGCCATGTCATGTCAAGTACAAGTGTAGAAACTTATCGTTGCTGTGGTGCCGCTGCAAGTGTTTTCCAGCCCTCCCGCCCCAGCGTCAGTGGGCGTGGAGAGGCGGTTTTTGCGAAACTCCAATTTGCAAGCGGCGATTCAACAAGGTCCACCAAAATACGTTGGGGCAACTGGAAGATGAGATGGAAATCATCTGGAAATCCGACTCCGTGTTAACGACGAAAAGATCCCACTCGCTACGCAAAGGTTTTTGACTCAAAACATGTCCAAGCTGCTCCTGCCCAATGTCGACCCCAGCCAAACTGCTTCAAGAAGGGAAGCTGCAAAAAGGGAGACAAATCGAAGAGACAGTTCAAACAGTTGCAGTTCCTTGCTGCCGCGTCTGAAATGACAGGAGGCTGCTCCGAGCGCTGGTCGAAGCCTGTCAGACCTGAGCGGCGCTTGGTCACAGTTGGCCATGCAGACCACCGACCTCCTTTCCCCCCTTTCACCGAGATGGACAACGCAGGCAACCCTTGCGCACGCTGGTGCACGCTGTCTACTCAAGAAATGAGATTTGCAGTGTGCCCTGCAGGCAGGAAATGGCGATGCAACCCAATTTCAGGCCCGGCTTGTTCTGGCATCACCAAGATTCCAGTCGCCGTTCAGGTCATTCGCTGAGCAAAACGTAGAAAACTTGACGTGCTCTCTTGAGCTTGTGTTTGGCCAGACAGGCGACGCCCGCAGAAGCTGAAGGCATCCGCAAAGCGGCGTTACAGTAGTTTTCAAACGAGAACATCTTTGCGGGCAGCAGCAGCATTGGATTGAATGCTTGTTTGGCGCATGCTCAACAGCAACGCTGCAACATGGTACGCACCGTTACGTTATGCCTTTTAGCTGCTTCACGATTGCACAAGAAGTGAGACTCTGAGAGATGTCGTATGGAGCGGCGGTGGACAGGCGAGGGCTCATGCTCGGAGTCCTCGGAGCTCGAGGCGGAGCTGCAGCGGCGCAGGTGCCTTCAGAAAAAGCACTGAAAATCACTGAAAAGCACACATCACTCAGCAAACCCTGTGACCCCTGTGGCCCTTTGCGGCCTGCGCTTGAACCATGATGAATGTTTGAAGCCAGCGGAAGATTGGGAAGTGCCCCAATCGGGGATGAACCCGAGTTGTGTCCCTCACTTCACACGCTTGTAAGGTCACGCCTGAGCGGTGGCTTCACGGGAAGGCCTTTGTCAAATCTGGTCAAGTGCTTCTTGAAGCTTTAGGCTCGTGCTATGTGACATAGCTCGGAACTGCCAAGCGGTTGGAAGTCGGCCACGGCGCTTGCTGTTCAAATGCATGTGCTGATGCTCAGAGGTGTTGGCGCTGTGGTGCAGAAATTGTGGCGGAGCTGGATGCGGTTGAGGCGCATGAGGAGCTTTGGCAAGTGCCGCGGCCAAGCAGGTCCCGGGAGTTTTGAAGACACTTGATGCCCGGAGAGCACGGGAGGAGATTTGCAGCCGACCAATGCACCTTGGCTGGATCGGTCCCATGGGCTTCGCGGGAAAAAGGAAATTGGCCCAAGGCTTGCAAGGATTCCAGCAGTTAGCGGAAGGGTTTTGCAGCTCAAGGCAGCAGCTTCTCGATGCAGCAGAACTGCTCGCACCACAAGATCCCGTGAGCGCCGAAGGTGTCACATGGGTAGTGAGTCGTGGGGTAATGTGGGGTGTAGTGGGGAGTGGGGTGTGAGCGATCAGCGGTTTGTACAGGCAATGAGTTGGAGAGTAGTCAGAGTCGTATCCGTGTGTTACGATCTGTACAAACTTTCAAAAAGATATTTCCACCGGCACCCCCCCCCCCCCCCCCCCCCCCCCCGTCCCTGCCCGTCCCTCTCTCTCTCTGTCTGTCTCTTCGTCCTGCAGGTTCACCCTCGCGCGAGGAGCAGCCGTGTCGACCTCAGAGTGAGTTGAGTTGAGAGGAGAGAAGGGCCCCTCTTTGTGCAGGTCCACGGTCTCCTGGACGCACAAAGGACCCATCACACATCTTCATACCCTTCGTTTAGCCTTGCATCAGATAGGTCATCATTGGACATGTCATGACAGCATGTGGGATGCAAGCAAGATCCACAGCCATGGGATTGCAGGCGGTGCCCCTGTTGCAGGCGTGTCTGCGCTCGCGGACCTGAAGCAATCCGTGCAGGCCGACAGCTTCTGGTCAGCATGCTTGGCATCGCATCTCGCAGGAGCTCGTCATTCGTCGTACTTTCGCTTCTGCTTTGGTTCATGTCGATTTCGCGCGGTACTCTGCGACAAGCCAGGCAACCTCTTCGTCAGTCGCGAGAAGGGCATGTGAAGCTGCAGGTTATGGAGGTTCCTCATCCTTCCCTGTTGCTTACTCTGGGCTTCAACCCGCCTCACTTTTGCATGTCGCATACTGTTCCCTTTGTAGTTCCTACAGTTCTCTCCAGGCTCAGGGTCGGCTCTGACGCCTGAACTCGATCCGCTGCAGGCATGCGAGCTTAATGCAATATAACATGGTCATCGCTTGCCTGTGCAAAGCATAGCAAAGCATCAGAGATGTGAGCTGTGTGATGCCGTCCGTGTGTATGACGGTCTTCAATGGCGTGTGGACGTTTGCAGGATGATGCTTTTAATGCTCATTGATGCTCGGTGATGCTCGTGCCCGCCCTTGAGATCGAGGGCCTCATTTCTCGGGGCCCTCTGATAAGCAAACAGTGCTTCTGACGAAGAGGACTCAACATCAGGATGGCTTAGGAGGGGTTTGTCGTGGTGTTGTCGAGTCACAGAGTAGATGCGTGGGGTTGGCCAAAGATGCCTCGAAACACGAATATATTTCAAAATTGAATGCCTTCCGGAGCCATTTCTACACCTGGCGTAGGTTGAGGTCGCCATGGTCGAGAAGGTGAAGGCAACCTCCGACGCGCCAAAAGATGCCCTCAAGAGGGAGAAGCCGCCAAAGCTTCTGCAGGAGATAGCCATAGCGCAGCTACCCAAGCAGAAGGTCCACAAGGCCTCTGTTGCAGCAATGCGCCAGGTGCTTGATGACCAGCTGGAAGAGATGAACAGCATCTTTATCCTACATGCACAGAAGATCAAGCGCATGTTAGACCTGCAGGAGCAGGCCGAAAAAATGAGAGAGTTGGAGATTCAGGAGCTGCGCAATGAGTTGGTGGCGGTGAAAGGGCCGAAAAAGGCCAATGGCACGTTGCAGATGGAGAACTGCAAGAAGCTCTTGGTGGAGCGTGACACAGCTTGCCGCTTGGCGGAGGCTGAGAACTTTCAGCTGCGTGAGCAGCTTGCAGCGATGCGTGCCGTTGGGAACCAAACCCTCATCATGAAGACCGGCTCCACTCCGGGGACCATGGGATCTGTGATGGGAGCCGCGACTGGCCCTGCGATGGGCGGCAACAGCCCGATGAGTGGCCTCCCTACGACACCTCTCGCGACACCGCTTGCGACACCTGCCGTGGGCCTGCCGAATTCGGGTGGCTCGAAGGGCCTGCCCCTGGGTGCGGCACCTGCGTCGCCGCCTCCCCCTGTGGTCTCAGTGTCGCACGTACCCCTCTCTTCACCAGAGATGTTGCACCGACTGGAGCGAGCGCAGACCGTACTCGAGACCTGGGCAAACACACACCATCCGCACCTGAATGGCTCTGTCGTTCGGAGCCTTCGAGACGAGGATGATGACTCTTCTGACTCTGATATTGAGCTGCCAGGGGCCGTTCGACATCGCCGTAGAGGCGATAAGCAAGGGCCGGAGCAATCCGAGAATGAGGAGGAGGAAAAATTAGATCCCAAAGCCGAGTACTTGAAGGAAAGTCAGAAACAGAGGAAGAAGAAGATGCTAAACAGCAAGCTCAGAGCGCTTGACATGAAAACTCGCATGCGAGATGCGTTTGCTGAGCCTTCATATATTGCGACGGAGCATTATCACACCACGGGCTTTGCTCAACTTCTGGCTCGTTCGCCGTGGTTCGAGCACACGGTCATGGTTGTCATCTTGCTCAACTCTGTTTGGATCGGCATCGAGTCAACCATCAATGAAAGCGCACTATTGATCAATGCCGACCCTGGCATCATTGTCGTTGAAAACATGCTGTGCCTGACCTTCACTGTTGAGATTGTCATCCGCTTCCTTGCTTTCAAGTCAAAGCTCCGCGCCCTGCGGGACTTCTGGTTTATATACGATTTTTTTCTTGCCTTCTTCATGATTCTGGAGACTTGGGTATTCTTCATTATTCTGACCGTGAGTGGTGGCGACATGGTGCTGTTCGACCCCCAGTTTGCAGAGGTGGTTGAACCATGGGAGGTAACGCTTTTTCACATGCTGTTTAAGCATCACCACACGTTTTCATTTGTTGCTCGCTCGTTTTCCGGTCATCGCGTGCCTCTGTAACATGCGGACACCCTTGCTCTAGGCAATGCCAAGTAAGTTAATGTCTTGCGAGATAAAGCATTTGCACTGCATGGTCTGCTGTACCCATGAATGTAAAGTACTGTGTAGCCACGGGCAGGTGTAAGATACTGTAGTTGCATCACATCTTCCCTTCCCTCTCTTCCCATGAGGTTTTGGAGTGAATCAACCTTGCATCCATGTAGTCTTTATAAGATGTCGTAGCAGCAGTGCTGCGACTGCGACGATGTTGATAGCTGCTACTCCGACTACGACTACGACTACGACTACTACGACTACGACTACTACGACTACGACTACGACTACTGCTACTACTACTACTACTACTACTCCTCATCCTCCTCCTCCTCCTCCTCCTCCTCCTGCTGCTGCTGCTGCTGCTGCTGCTGCTGCTGCTGCTGCTGCCGCTGCTGCTACAGCGACTGCCACTCCCACTCCTACTCCTACTGCTACTGCTACTGCTACTCTACTGCTACTGCTACTGCTACTGCTACTGCTACTGCTACTGCTACTGCTACTGCTACTGCTACTGCTACTGCTACTGCTACTGCTACTGCTACTGCTACTGCTACTGCTACTGCTACTGCTACTGCTACTGCTGCTACTGCTACTGCTACTGCTACTGCTACTGCTACTGCTACTGCTACTGCTACTGCTACTGCTACTGCTACTGCTGCTACTGCTACTGCTGCCGGCTGCTACCGCCTCGCGCCTGGCCGTGCTCTCCTGCTGACCGCCGCGCCGCTGCTCCTCGACAGCAACTGCTGCTGCTGCTGCTGCTGCTTTTTGCCCCAAACAGTTTACTGTAGGGGTTCCTCCCTCTTTCTAAGAATTCCGACCAGAGGGATGCTCTGGCCGGGTCTCTGGGTTGCATGTCGCGTGGCCTCGGCCAGTTCCCGGCCTGTTTGTTGTCGCCCTTTGTCTCCTGTCATGTGGGTGGCCTCGGCCGGAGCGTGGATATTGGCCCAACATCCACCCCTGAAGCGCGGATGTTGGCCCAACATCCAACCCTCAAGCGTGGATGCTGGCCTAACATCCACCCTCAAGCGAGGATGTTGGTCGGCCCAGCGTCCGCCCCTCAAGCACGGATGTTGGCCCAAGATTCGCCCCTGAAGCGTGGGTGTGCGCGCCGACTGTGTGTGCGGGCGCAGGACGCGCCAGGAGACGCGTGTGCGCGCGCATGACATGACATCCCTCTCGACACTTGATTGACGGGGGTGCTGTCGGTGATGTAGTGACCAAGACCGAAGTAGGTCATGATTGCCTGCCTTCCAACGATTGATGGTGCCTATGTCTCGTCATGGAAGGTTCTGCAACCCTCTTGATTTCACGGGGTTGCTGTCGCGTATATGTGTGTGATATACTGACCAAGACCGGAATTGGCCTGACCTCCAACGAGTGGAGGTGTCTAAGTCGTCCTGGCTAGCACGGCAATTCGCTTAATGTCACGAGGTTGCTAATCACGTATATGTCTGTGATCTATTGGTCAAGATCGGAATACTGCTTGACTTCGAACTTCCCATCTGTTAGCATGGGTGAACACACTTATTATTCCAAGCTATCGTCAGGAGTCTTTGCCATTACTCTATTTTTGATACCTTTGAAGTCTCGGGCTTCTTTCTTGTGGGGTAAAGTCACTATGCGCTGTAGTCTGTGAACATGCCATTCCACTCTTAACTGTTTGGGGTCTTCGCTAGTGTGATTCTTGTTTTTCTGCTAGAAGTGCTGGTGTGGCCACCGTTTTTGCCAGCACTGATCAGATTTGTACATCAGCCCGGAGAGCCGTGTTTTCTGAGGTTCGATTCATCGATCATGCGGATGTTACGACTGCTTCGGCTGACCCGAGTTGCGCGAATCGCCCGGATGCTTCGTGTTATGCCAGAGGTCATGATCCTGGTGCGTGCCATTGGAGCTGCCCTGCGATCAGTGATCCTCACAGTGATCTTGGGTCTCATGATAGTCTACATCTTTGCTATTGCTCTCTCGCAGATTGCAGTTGACACGCCCGCCGGCGTCAGCTACTACAGCACGCTTCCGCAGGCGATGTTCAGCCTGATCTTTCATGGCTGCTTCAATAACGACCTGGCTTCTATGGCTCGGCTGTCATTCCAGGATGATATCATTGTTGGTGCTCTCTTTGCTGTCTTCATACTCATTGCCCCCTTGACCATTATGAACCTGCTCCTGGGTGTTTTAGTCGAGGTGGTGCGCGTCGTTGCAACTGCTGAACAGGAAGGCCGTGTCGTCCGGAACTTGAAAGAGGAACTTCACTGGGCCAAGCAAGCGCTTGGCACGGAGGGAGATACCATCACGCAGGACCAGATCCTCTGATCGTGTTCTAAAATTTGGTGTCGGGAGTGTTGCAGGCCTGCATTCGGCTATTTTTTGCTGCTGCTGATGCACTGCTGCATTCTGAATTCTCTGCTCGGTTGGTGGGCTTGTGATGGTTTGTTGTCATGCGTCAAGCCGCCCGAAACTCCGAACTCAAAAGCGACCTACAGTGTGCTTGAAGCCTCAAAAGCTTTAAAACCAGGCCACAACCACGCCACGTGGACCCACAACTACTTCACGGGAGGGGGAGAGGGTAGAAATTATCGGCTCATGGCCCAGGGCCGCTGATGCTCATGATGCCCAAAAAGCTTGATTGACACCGTCCGTGGGGTCGGCGGATTCTTGTCAGCACGCGATGTTTCTGAAGGGTCTCTTCATTGCTGGCTCCGGGCCACGATGGGACAGCTTGGCGCTGCTTTGATGCTTTGGTTGACACTCTTCGTGGCAAACGAGCATCTCTGTAAGATGCCACGGAAGCTCATGGAAACGAAGGGCCAAGATCTGTGTCTGCACAGCCTTTGCTTGAGGTCTCTTTCCAGTCACCCAATGAGCAAAGTCACCATTTTTTCCACAGAAGCCGAAAGGCACAGCTTGCACGTCGGACCAGTCAGTACTTGCAGGAAGAGTTCATCATGTTGCTCCAGAATGACCAGGCGATCGGTGTCCTTCAGGACTGCGGGCTGCAGGAGCTTTGTTCTGCGTCGCGACTGTCCCTTTTTTCCTCCGTCGCGCAGGACGTTGGCGTGGACCTCATTGCCTTAGTCAAGGACCCAAACATCATCTTCGACGGGGATCCTTACATTCACTTCCAAGACTTTCTGAATGAGATGCTTCTTCTCCGTGGGTCGAACAATGCGACAGTGAAGGATCTAACGGTGTTGAAGAATCAGCTGCTCCAGACCTTGCCACCTGTTCTCAAGCGCAAGCTCCGATTGTAGTGTCACCTGTGCAGTCGCACAGAGCAGTCTAGAGCAGTCTTGGCGAAGTCATTGGGGAACTTCGCTGCTCGAGACGGCCCAAGTGTGAATGAATCTCCTTGCATTATCCCTGCAAAGCAGGCTCGACACAAAATATCAGCACAAGCCATATAAGACCTGTGCTGTGCCGGCAGTATCTGGATGAGCAAGATATGACTTCGCACTTTATGTAGGAAGGCATTTGGCAGCCTGCACAGAGGACATAGAGGCTCTTCGTGGTCTTGCCAAGCAAGGCTTCCCCGTCAAAGCTTACATAGCTCGAAGGAGGATCGGAACATGTAGAGTTTCGATGTGTTGCAACATGCACACAGGCCGTACGCGCCGTCTTGTGTTTTGGGAATGACACTCATAAAAGCTGGTGTTCTGCACCGGTTCAAAAGTCCTCCTGCTTTTTCACCCCACATATTAAAGAGAGAGTAGCTGCTCGAGCCATAGAACGGGAAAAGAAAGCGAGAAAAACAAGAAGAGTGCTCTTTGAATGTTCGACGCTCTCGAAGATCCCAAAAACTCGCCGCGTGCTCTTCGGTGCTGCAGAGAGGTCTACGGGAGGATCGAGTCGACCGTGGAGGTGGTTGTTCTGCTCGTGCTGGATCCGGTGTTGAAAGGTCGGATGCCTCAGGAGCTGAGGGTTCAGGGATGGCACAGTAGCCCCACATCCTTGCCACGTCATGAGCTGCACGTGGGCAGAGATGGACGAAGTTGCTTTGCATGCACGTGTTTCTGCCAAATCTTCGATGTTGTATGCATGGTTCGTTGTTAAGTCCGAGTTTCAGGGAAGACATCCGAAGGTAAGTGTCGAGCAAGGAGGGAAGGAGAGAAGCAGGGAAGGATGGAATGATGGAAGGACAGGAAAGGAAGGAAAGGAAAGGAAGGGAAGGAAAGGAACGGAAGGAAAGGAAGGAACGGAAGGAAAGGAAGGAACGGAAGCAAAGGAAGCAAAGGAAGCAAAGGAAGCAAAGGAAGCAAAGGAAGCAAAGGAAGCAAAGGAAGCAAAGGAAGCAAAGGAAGCAAAGGAAGCAAAGGAAGCAAAGGAAGCAAAGGAAGCAAAGGAAGCAAAGGAAGCAAAGGAAGCAAAGGAAGCAAAGGGAAAAACATGAAAAAACCCAGGTTCAAGCTGTGTGTTTTCACCTGCCTGAGGCTTACCCTCGCTCGGGGTGCTGCCGGTCCGAGTGGAAGCGCGACGTGCCGCCTTGATCCGAGACGGATCTCACTTAAAAGAGCGGCATTCACTCGTTCATGATTTCTCTCACAATAGGAAACATCCCCAGGTTGGCGAGCATGGCAATCCAGGGGCAGCTGTGGCCGCCTTGCTGGCCAAGGCTGGTCCGAGACTTCAAAGCTATCAAAGTTGCAAAGCTTCACAGGTTCACAACAAGAGGTCACAATGCCATACAATGCCATACAATGCCATACAGAGCCAAGTAAATCACACGATCCAAAGCAATCGGAATCCGGCACTGTTGAAATGCCGTACGTGATGCAAAGCATGGAAAGTAGCCGACTGCCAGCACGTGCGCACGAACACAGAACTCCTACTCTGCCCTTTCTGAAGCCTGGTGTCCAACGATCGTTCTGCATCACCGAGCCTCGGCCACGGGGATCGTCTCAGGTGGAGATGGATGACGGAGAGTGCGGCATGTCCCAGCGTGTTCTACGGAAGGCAGGGCGGAGTTTTGCAGCCGAGACAGGGGTATGCCGCGAGGCAACGCGATGTGCTTCACACCTCACGCTTTTGACACTGTGGATGGCTCTCAGAGAGGTTTCAGAGCTCTTGGTGATGCGATTCCTGCCTGTGGTGGGGGCGGGAGCCTTCCTGAGCTCCATGGCCAAACAAAATGAGAGCACTCTTTGCGGTTGCATATGGTTGCATATGGTTGCATGCAAAGACTGATCGTGGTTGCTCAGAAAACTCTTGTGTCCTTTGCAGCTCAGTGTATCCCTCTGTCTCAGGCTACACGGTCTACATTCGCTTACGCCTGGCCGCGTTGGTCGCAGAGATGTACGGTGTCTGCCTTGGTGAGGGTCTCCTTGTTATGCCCGCTGTCAGTGTCGCAGAAATCGCTTCTGACAGCAGCTGACATTCGTAAGTGCGTGCGAATGTAGCTGCACGGCTTGAAGGACATGACGTGGAAGATGCAGAGGTGCAGGCAGGAAGCCCATAGGTAGGCAGTAGACACAGTAGACAAACCAGGTTTGCTGGGACCAATTCTCGCCAGGGCCTGCTCTTCTTCTGCGTGTTGCCGGGTGGTGGGGATGGGCCGAGCGAGGAAGCTCCAGATGCCTCTGGGCCAGGCGGGGATGACATCACTACAGTAATGTAACGGCCAATGAGTTCCATATTGAAGCTTCTTTGATTCTTGTCATCAGTTGCGGATGGCAATGGCCCTACCGCCGCGGTTCGAGCGGCCAAGGGCCTCGGTCACGGCCTGGCACGGCAGGCGGGGTGTCACAGCGAACCAAGTGCAAATGCAAAGATATGCAAAAGATCCTCAAAAAGCACTGGAGTGTACGTTCTTACCCGGCAAATCCAAGAATTCCATGCGCCCCCGCTAGGTAGTTCAGCGATCGACGGGTTGGCGCAGCGCCGCCGCCTGGCACTTGGCACACCTTGGCACCTGGCCCTCCTGCAGACAAGTGCAAGCAGTTCTGTTCGGAGATCTCGTTTCTTGAGGATCTGTACGATCTGGCAGCCGCGATCTGCTCAGAGCGTACTGGTACGGATGAGGACGGAAGCAGATCTGCGCGAGAAAGTAGCTCCAGAGAGCACGACGAGTTCGTGACGTGAGTGCCTTGAGTGCAGGCGTCAGAGGGCCCGCAGCTGGCAACCGTTCGGAGGCTGGAAGAGCCAAAAAAGATTGGGAGGGAGGATCTGGGACCGCTCCGAGGATCTGTGCAATCTCTGTAAATGCAAGTGCAGCGCGCGGAAGAAGCAGAAGAAGCGGGATTGCAGAGAGCTGTCAGGGCAATCCTCCTTTTCCAGCCAAGCCGGGCTTCAGAGTCTGGGCATCCCGCGCCCCTGCTGGGTTTCAGATGGTTTCGGGATTCGGTCTGAGGGGACCTTGTGTTATCTTGATCTCGACTAACATTGCAGAATTACATGATGCCCCAGGTCATGATGGTGCTCATGTCTTGCCGTTTTCGTATTGGTCACGGTGAACTCCTCAAGAAACATCACCTGTACTTATGTCATCTGGGAGGATACGTGCCAATGCCATGTGGACCCATGTTGGTGCCGGATCGAAAAATCAAAGAGAAGAGACCCGAGCAACAATGACATAAAGAAGATCTGATGTTTATCCTTAAGGCCACTCTGGCGCTGCTTGGCCTTGGGGCCGCTGCCCCGACGCTGCTGGCCGTGGTCCGATACCTAGGAAACCTCTTCAAGATTTGGAAAAGCCCGCACACGGTTTCTGTGCAGTCATCTCTTGCCTTTCTCCCATGTTGGGTTCTCACGGTGGGGTGCGTCCGGGCTACGGACGGGAAACGGATGGGACATGTATGGGACACGGTGAGGTACTCGCACGAGTGGGAACACGGACTCTGGGCAGGGAGCTGCACACGGACGGGATGCGTATGCGATCGTATAGGGCATTAGGATGGGATACGTACGGACGGGGTGAAAGTAGCGAGGGTCAAGTTCCCTTCCCTCCCCCTCCCCCTCCTCCCCCCCCTCTCTCCCTTCCCTCCCTCCCCTCCTTCCCTCCCCTCCCTGTCTCCCGCTTTGTCTTCGTTAGTGCGTTTCGCCCGCCCTGGTCCCAGGCCTTCCAATTTCTGCGCTTGGCACAGCTTGCTTCGCTGCTGCTGGGTGGCCTTGGAGCTCCACTGCTCATAGCAACACTGGCTGCAGGAGTGTTTTGAGATGTGTGCTACTAGATGAGAGCCGCGAGAGTTTCGAGTTGCAGGCACTCCTGTTGATACTCGTGGTTGCAATGGTGGTGATGTTTCTGAGCCGCACGCAAGAGTCTTGTGCTGCGTTTGATGATGCTGTTGCAGGAGTGTTGGGGAAAGGAATATCGGGTGTAGGTGGCGGATGCTCATTTTCATTAAGCTTTGAGGTGGTCTTGAAGCCCATGCAAGGGAAGTCTGCAATTAGGGCTGTTGGTTGCATGAGCCTTACAGATCTGTCAAGGTGCATTTCCCTCACTCCGCCTCATTTGGAATCTTCTGTCCTGTATCGAGAAACTGCGCCTGCGGGTGAGCAGAGCAGAAACCAACAGCCCCCTTGACGAGACAGAGGGACGAGATAGGCGTGCGGCACAGGCGTAGCATGCCCAACGTCCACCAAAGTCAAGGTCGTACATGTGCAAAATCCAACACAATCATGTACGAACCATCCAAAACCAAAACCCCCAAAAGACCGTTTCAAGGACCGTTTTTCAACAAGATCGTCTGAGGCGTTGGGAGTTGCTTGACGCCTTCTCGGAGCGCCCTGAAGTGGTCTCCTCCGGCGTTTTTCTTGTCCAGGCGATTCTACCGCCAGGCGCCTTAGACACCGTCTCCCAACATGCCGGTTGTATTGAATGCCTAAGCTCGACGGAACGAGAACTGAACCCCTTGGCTTGAGCTCTGCTGAGGCTCTTGGCCGCCTTTTCAGGCAGTAGCCTCATTGTCGAGGGAGCCCTGAGGCCGGGAGACCGGCGACACCGTCGTTATCTTACAGTCCATCTCACAGTGTTTCTTTGTTCGGTGCGCACATGTTTGTTTTTCTTTCGCTCACGTTTGTGGAGGAAGCTCGTCGCGGGCTCCGGCCCCGAAGACGGTGGGATGCTGTTCCTGCTGCTCGGGGGCCCCGTTCTCACATCATTCTGATTCACATTTCGTGTATGTTCGTGTCTCGCGTGTGGTTTCGGGTGATTGAAAACCATTGTAAGCCTCGAAGCTGAGGCTGGACTTGGCTAAGACTCTGGCAACGCATGCAGGCGCCGAGTGTCAGTAAGGATAGGTGAGCACGCGGAGATCTG